CATCTCCAGGTACCACAGGAAGCCCGATTTTAAGTATTTTATTTCAAAGTAAACATCTTAAATGTTAATTAACACCTAGTTATTCCAACACCTCTCTTTATATTTCTGAAACATGATGACAATGATTACAAAAGTGGTTATGAGCAGATCATCACAGCACTAAACGTCCTAAACACAGAAAATCACCTTGAGTAGTCGACTTCAGATATTTTTGTTGAGTAATTATGATGTATAAAAGAATTGCAAATTCTTTTATTTCCCCTGGCATTGTCTACAGTTTTTTTTTGTGCTGGGTGGTCACTGGACCAAAATATCTAAAGTTGACAATCAAGAGTTAATGTGATGGCAAGCCATATTGGATTTAGAAAACATTGCCACACACGTACTAGTTTCTGTAGAATTGTGTAAAATCTGTTCCTCTTTAAAAGATGGGGCTTCCACCTCTTAGAAGAATTTGAGAAATTGTTCACAGGAGGTGAAAACCTACCCAAAAAATCACAATACATGTAGTTGTTAAACCCTGCACTTTTATTCATATAATTTGTATGTAAACTCAGTGAGAACGCTATGAGCAATAATAAACACTATTCCATTCCAATAATTATTTTGGGCTATCCTAGTCTAATATCTTACATGGTACTTGAGCTAGGTCACTTCAAAGAAAACTTGAGATGAATGATTTTACAATGATCAAGGCTTTGAGTTGATATTTCCCTAATAACCAATAACTATTTAACCTTTTAACCATGTTATTTTATCATTAAATGAGCTGTTTGATAGTGTTATCAAATGCATGTACTTGGACACTATTCTCAATTTAACAAATCTACAACAAAAARCCTTTTGAATTAAATTCCATCAGCGAATCAATCAATCAACTTCTTTATCTAGATTGTCATGTGCATTATCTGAACCCATATCAGAACTGCCTGCAACATGCACATGTATTCGCCAGTCATTCCCAAATCCTGCAGCACCATCCTCAAGATCATCTTCCCAATAATCAAGATCGTCAGGATCAAAGTCACTTTCAGCATCRTAGAAATCATCAAAGTAGGCATTGGCATCATCATCRTACATGTCATCATATATGTCATCATCRTCATCAGATGAATTTCCAAAYATCGGCTCTGGGTATTGATAGTCGGGAATTAATGGCTGTTTTGGCATTCTGAATACCCTCCAGACGAACTGAAGCTTTGTTATACCAAGATCATTCTGCGTGTCAACAACAGTTCCGTTAACACTAGCTAGGTAACCATAGGAACCTGGAGGTGTCTCATGCCGAAAGCCCCCACCRGGTCCCCCAAAGGGCCCCAGCTTCCTTTCTTTGTTGGTGTAGAATGCAAGACARTCMACCATCCAACCACTTTGGGAATCTACTTTAATGATTCGYTCAGTGGGTCCAAGACTGAATTCTTCTTGATCTGTTGCYTTGYTGCTTCCATGCATAATGGTGTTGCCATCACTATAACGGACTTCGATTCCACCAATGACRGGACGACCGTCCCATCGRCGAATCCAAAACTTCATACCGCAAACATRTGCATCCTCYGCAATGGATCCCATGTCCTCAAAGGACTCAATTTCATTGCTCACGTGCTCTCCACGTGCAAYGCAACGTCCTTTCCAGAACTGGTACTCTCCACAGGCTCTCCGCTTTGCCCAGTCTGGCGTGGGCTTTGACTTCTTTGTTTTCTTCATCGTTATCGCTTCTTCAAGAACTGCAAGACAGTCTTTGCTTGTCAATAATGGATTTGTCTTCAARGTGTGCAAAAAAGGTTTCTTAAGTAATGGAAGATGGATGCACTTTAAAATCTCTGGTGTATTGATGTCTTGGTTTTTGTTGTGTTCAAGGTATTCTAAAACAAGCTTTAGGAGATATTCTTCCTGRCTTTTKCCAAGAAAAACWACTCCATCTTTGAAAACAACCAACTCCTGGTCGCCGATAATGTCTTTGAGCAAGTCTTCATGGAGATTCAGAAATGCTTCATGGTCATTCTCAACACACTCTACAAAATTATGAAAGCAAAATTCTTTCAAAGTCTTCATTAATTCCGTTTGATGATAATGATCTGCAACTTCGAGAAGTTGAAATGTGTTATGCTTTCCTAAATATTTCTTGAGAAAATCAACGCAAGACTTCTCCACGACTTGGAAGCCTTGCAGAAAATTCGCTCCAGCTAAAAGCTCTATGACATTTTCAGCAGTTATTTGGATTTTTCCTGAGTAAGCAAATTCAAGAAGTGCCTCGCCAACGCTTTCTCCAACGCCATTAATCTCCAATCTTTGCTGCGTAGAATCTACAAAATTWGCTGAAAACATTGCCTCGAAATACTGTGACGAAGACGCAAGGACAACCTTGTGGGCTTTGATTTCAATTTGTCCGAATACTAGCGTAACATCGCAAAATCTYTCATCTTTAAACTGCTGATGCAGGCCCTTCAAGACTTCTTGGCAGTGAGCTGTTTCATTSACGGTRCATGGTTCTGTCTCGCCCAAGTTTAYTTGATGGAAAAGAGTCTTTGAAGTCTTTTCACTGCATGTATCAGAGGAAGCCATTATTTAGAAAGGCAAAAACAAAATGCAGAGAAAGAATATAAAGGTAAATTCATGTGATCAAAACGTGCGAATTCATTGATTTATGGCACACTTGAGCCGGTAGTGTTTTTGTCAGCGGAAAAAAACACAGGAGCCCCAACATGTATTTAGACACAGGAAACCCAACACTAAAAAAATGAGAAACTTTGTTTTGGMTTTAGTTTTTCAGTTTTTCTTTATTAGTTTATTATTAGACCTTTAGATTACAATATTGCATTATGAATGTGCTTTTGATTGATAATTTTTCATGATTTTTATAATTCCAAAACTTCACTTTGTATATGTCAATACGAATTCAAAGCATTTGAAAAATTTGCTTTTATTATTAGTTTTTTTTTCTCTTCATTTCTTTTTTGCAGTAAAAAAAAGGTTTCTTGCTGTTACCCTGGCACAGAACTGCCAAATATTGTCATATACGTAGTACCCCCCATTGTATACACTATATTTATTTACCACGGTCTCTTAGCAACGTGACGTAGGRGGCGATTAACCGTGACTGACGAGACAAAGCCATCATACGGTTCTGGCTCAGTTATGAAACATAAATGAGGTATTATTTCGTGAATTTGTGAACCTCCTATCCACGTTCTTTATATAGAACAAGGTTAAATATACTACAAAGGTTCCCGAGGAAAGTTTTGTGGGAAATCGAGCCAAGAGGAAAGGAGAGAGAGAGCGATTTTTGGAAGCTCAAGTGTTCGATATGCACAGCTGTTTTCTCGTGAAAGCTTCATGATGACTGTCAAGGATTCTTCAATGGAGAAGTAAGTTTTCCTTTCTTTTCTGTGGTGTTCAACTCTTATCTAACTTTGATGTTTCTTTTAGCTATAATACCGTGTCGAGTTCGGACACCGCTTCGGTCAACGAAGAAGAAAATGGCGGAAGCTATTTGCCTGTAGTCAGCTTACAAGTTCGAGGACAGGATCGTCAAGAGATTGAAGACGACGAATTCTTCCCTGTAAGTCTTTCTTTAATTGACTCCTTTCTTCTAAATAATTRCTGGGTTGACTTAGGAATAGACGGTACGTTCTGCATTTATGGTAGATTGAAGAGAAAATGAGCGTAGAACGTCTTCGCGGCAAATTGTTCGCGCAAAATTTACACTGCAACTATGCAATTACTTGTAGCCAAATATGACTTTAGTTTAGAAGACCTAATACTAGTATTAGTTTAAATTTGAGTTTCCACGTATGTCTGCTATATGCTAAACGTTAAAAAGTGGATATTTAGGTAATGATTTGAATTTAGTTTATGGCTTTAATAGCAGAACCTTGAATTATGCTAATGAGTGTTTAGATTTCATAGCTCTGTAGTCAAATAAAAATTTMTGTTGTCAAACCAAATCTTTTCTATTATCTCCGAATCAAGAGAGGTTTAAATTTCCTCTTTCGTGCTTTTTTATTATTTTGTGAAAATACAAAGTAACCAGTGAAACTTGGAAGTATTAACTTCTAGATATTAAAATATGTTGTTATGCAAGTTTGTAAAATATACGTATACATGCATGTAAACAAAACGGTAAAATTCTGAGGAAAAAACCAGCAAATGTGGCTTT